GCTTTGGATGAAAGCGTCTGCTAAATGACTAAATGTAAATGTAAAAACAAAGCAGACTTTTCAGGAAAACATTTAACTGCTAAATGTTTTGAATATATATCTGAGGTGAGAAGCTTTCAAATAAAAGACTGGTAAGACAATCCATCTTAAATTATAAACCAAATTAAAAACCGAAGTACCTGGCTCATCTGAACCATCCTTGCAGTCACAGTAGTCATCATTCACTCGGTCAAAAGGAATAGTCCGGGATCCATCGAGACAGGTGAAAGGCTTGTTCTCCTCATAAAACGGTTTCTCTTTATTTATTTAGACAAAATAAAAGTTAAGCCAGTTAGACCAGAATGTGCAGAGAAACCAGTGCAGGTTTAATACAGAATATGCAATAAATGATATATGACTTTACTTGTCAGAGGCACTCCTCGTGGCCGTTGAATCTCTACAGGTGTCCCCAAGCTGACAGCAAAGACCAAAGTCAACAGCAAGTGCAGGCAGGTCATGATGCCTCAGGAGAAACAGGGACAAACGCAAACTCCCACTAGAGGCGCGTGACCTTAGAGCAAAATGAAGGCACAATGCATTGTAAAACTGAACATCACAGTATATCTAATCCCTTCATATATACAAATCTCACACCAAAGTTTTACAAAAGGCTAAACGAATTAACGCTATTCTTCATCCAAATGATGGTCGCAGATAAAGCCGTCTATAAAACGTCTTATTCGCATCATCCTCGTTAATTCAATGTGAAATGGCTTCCGCACACACGGCCAACCGAACACACTCAAATACTCACCGAGCTGAAGCGATGAACAATACAGTATCACGATAGCAAGTATTATGTTTCAATAAACACCACCTAAATTGTATGGCGCTTGTATAATTAGTCAAAGAAATCTAAAAAAGCATTGTAAGTCGTTACTTGCTTCCGAAGAGCGTTCTTGCACCGTTTGTTAAGTCGCCAAGATGAGCGGTGTTCTCATATATGATTGGTGGATTCAAGTGGAGGAATGCGGCATTGTGGGTAATGCAGTCATAAAAAAGAGGATGGAGTTGCCTTTTTTTTTTTTTGCTTTTGCACAAAATCAATGATATGCTTAATAATAAATCAGTTACCATATATTTAGGCAGAAGCGTCCCACCTATGGAGGACCAAACCTGCAGAAATTAAAAATAAATAAATAAATGACTTGCTAAAAACAAATATAGTTCATTTGTAATAACATTTAATCCTGAATTTATTTTTTATTACCTTTTTCCTTTATTTGGTATTTTCTGTATTTATTTTTACATTTTTTATTCATATTTAACTTTTATTTACTTATTCGGTTACACTTTACTTGAAGGGGTGTGCATAAGACTGA